AAAAAAAGCTCTGGGATGAGATAATCGCAAAGCAATTTGTGATTTATTATTTTTTTTTCTAAATCTATAATTTTTTCATTGAATAGAATTGGCTATTCGACATTTTAGTATTAAATTTTGTAGCAACCATATCTGCTTAATCAGTTAAAAACTTTCCTGTTGCATATATGTATGTATTTCGTAAATTGCCTTACCCACCAAAGCAACGGCAGCTGAATTATCTTTACATTGCACTAAGATGACTTCAAGATAAGAATATGTTAATTCTCATAGCAGTGTGCGATCTTAAAGATTAAAATAATCTTATCTTTTCTATTACAAATACATATCCTAATAGTGTAAATAATAAGATAGATTCAACAATAATATGAAAAACTTTTTACATTTTAGCTGAAGCGATGGATAAGCATTTATTGAAACTGAAATCAGTGATATTGAAAAGTGCTATATCCAACTGGAGTCAAACGCACACAGAGGAGCGTACGCGCGAAAACGCCGTGGTAAAAGCTTTGCACAGCCTCCTAAGAATAGCAGAGCAATACTCTACCAGCAAAGCCCTTGCAGATTTCAATGAAAGCAACGACCTTGATAATACCGCCAGTGAGGATGCGGCTTTACAATCGCCTCTCCGTCCGCGTGCGCGATCTTTTACCAGTACAAAAACCCATGGCAAAAACAGCAACGCGACCACACCACGTACGCCTGTGCCAAAGAGGCCGATCTCCGGCGAAAGTTGCGATGCAGATTATTTTTCCACGCGAATGTCAGTATTCTGTGAGAGTGAAATGGAGCTCAGCGAGAATGAGCACGATGACAACTATATAACGGCGGACGAGGGCTACGAAGCTGATGGCGAGATACCTGAAATATCTGAATCTGAAACTGAGTTGGATAAGGCAGAATTTTGGAATTCATTTCAACCAAGTTCTCGTTATCGTACACATCTGCTACACGATGGTCTTTGTCAGTTGGTAGTTGAAATTCTTATTGAGCTGTCAGAAAGATGCATCCACAATCCGGTGGGTTGGAGTGACTGTTTGGTGCAACTGGCAAATCGTCTATTCGTAATTCGAGCTCATATAGGAGACTCACTATTTTTACTGCGTGGCTTTGCACCAGTTTTGAAGTGCGGCGATCCACGCCTGAGAGGTTTGTATCGTAGATATAACGGTTGAAATGAGTTGCAGCAGTTAAAACTGCTCTACATGTACTAAATATTTACTTTTTTAGAACTTCAACAAGCCTTGCTAGAGTTAATTGTGGACATAAACACTCCGGAAGTTATCTGCACATATTTTAATATCTTATCCGCCAAAAATCCGCCTGTGGATCTTCTAATAAGATATCTGAATCATAAATGTGACAGTAAACTGAAAAAGCCTCAACCTATGGTCGAATTGGAATTCCCTATGACGATCGGTAGGATATTTTTGATAGTAAATTTCTGCTATAGCTTTAATTTATGTACATTCCATAGATGGCAAATGCACTTCCACGAGCGATCAACGTTTAACAATGGAAATCGATCGCATTCGAAATCAACATATAAATGCGCAAGCCACGACACCATTGTCTCGTACTCCTTGTATCATACCTATAACCCATGCCAGACTGTGGGGCAATGACGGTTTCACACTTTCGTTTTGGCTGCAACTGAAAGGAACAAATATTAACAAATCCTCGTCTTTAATTGCAGAGGATGACCAGCGCAGTTCTCTCGAAAACAATCTGGTAAGCCAGTGTAAAATGATTAACTCTGAGTTGGTTATATATTCTGATTTTTCTTATAGAAAACACACATTGTTTCCATAGGCACCAACCAAGTAATGTTAAGTGTTTATGTTGATAGCAATATGAAATTAGTTTTCGAGACAAGCAAGCCGAATGCCGAGATCCAAACGCAAGCTCAATCGCCGTCAGAGATAGCAAACGGGAATATGGAAGAGAAAAATCAATCCTCAGCAAAAGATGCTGTTACTGATTCAAAAACTCCTACTCCTTTGGTTAGGCCCACAAGTGTGTCCACAAGTCCATCCACTCTGCGAGTTGCTTTGAAACAGACTAAGCTTGTGATTCTTAACAGCTTTAATAACATGCATCTTTTCAAATATCATAACCACCGTCATTCGTATGAGAATTCTTCTGTTGAGCTGAAATTATTTCGATGTACACGGAATAGCTGGACACATGTTGCATTTGGAGTATGTGCTCATCAAGATCATTTAGAGCTAACAGTTTACATTGACGGTGTGGAAGAAGATGTTATAAATTTATATTTCCGAAATATCCGAAGTTCCATAAAAAGTCACGCCTTCCAAATAATATGCCTTGGAGACAGCGCATATTCAGCTATAAGTTCCAATGGCTTGGGTGATAACACAGAATCGCAACGGTTCCACTCTGAGGGATACCCAATACCCTTTAGCATATCTAACTTAATGCTATTCAGTAACAAATTTGCAGCATGGGAAACCATAGCCAACTTGACGGCAATGGGACCGGACTTTTCAGAGCTTGCTCCACTTCAAGTTAACTCCTGGCAGCCGAATTATGGATTTGTAAATTTAAGTAAACTGAAAAAAGCCAATTTTGGTAGTGTTGCGGAATCAATTAAACTGTTGTACGAAGCTCGTATGCTATGCTATACAGCAGAGTCTCCAGATATTGTGATGGGCTATAACAATGAATCAAAAGACGGAGGCGTTGTCAGTGGTGAGTTAAATCTATTGTTTTTACACATTTGGTTTAAGCAGGGCTTAATTTCATTCGGCATTGCAACGCATGTTAAGCTTTTTAAAGTTGTAAACTTTTAGCACTAAATATTTCAGGCAATAGACAAAATAATTTTTAAGCAAAAACCCGAGTAAAACCCTCATATAAAATGTAGGAGTATCGTTAAATTCTTCATGATCCAAGGATCGGAACTAGACCAAATTAGTATGGTGGTTGTTTTTTTTTTTCATTAAAAAGAGATATTCGGTTCTACGTTAGCCGGATTAACCTCGAGCATACACTCCGACTAAGCAAAGACCATCTCAGAGCAGCAACCCTCCATTTTTTTCGCCATGGGAACATGACCTACCAGCTAATATCTTGGACCTCAGTCCGCTACAACAGCTGCAATGACTAGTGTCACCTGAAAGACCACCCGGTCCGAGACCAGCGCGTCAGGCAACACAGGCAACACAGGCACCGAAGGCATAACAAGCACCCCGCGCGTAACCATCACCAGACCGATCAATTAAGCTATTACAGTTTAATAGCAACTGCCTACAAAGTAAGATCGCTGAGAAAGACGATTTCATGAGATGGAATAAAGTCTCAGTCGCGGCGATCCAGGAGACCAAACTCTAATCCGGCTCGGGCTCGGGCCTTCAGAATTAGGACGAGTTCAACGTTCTCCGAACAGATCGCCCCTGGGGTCGTCCTTATATTGCATAACGCGGTACAATACCGGCGCATTACCCTCATGGAATTTCAAGGCTTGGTCATCAAGTCGGTGGATACAGTGCTGGAGATCGTCAGCGTACTTTCCACCCGCCACCAGTTACCCAGCTGGATATCATGCCAATACAAATGCGCTAGATGAACTCTGACACTCCCATCTGGGCAATGACCAGCGGAGTCCAAAGCTTTCTGAACAAATTGACGACTCCACGTTCAGCACTGTAAACGCAGAAGTCGCGGGTGCTGACTACAGCTCGCCAGGCATAATAGCCAGTGGAGGTCTAATAAACTGCATGGGATGGCAACCAGTGCTTACGTTCACATCATACCACCTGCCCATAGTAGTCGCAATAGACCAGCCGAAAGATTTTATTACATCTGAAAACCGCACGGTCCATGAACACAGTGAAGTCCTACTGGGCCCGTTTCACGGAATTGACCGTCCGCAAACTCAATGCTCTTCCACCACCATCATGCGCGTGCATAGCTGAGCGCAATATCTGCAGGATCATTAATGCAGCAGCCGCCAGCTTCATACCAGTCGGCTGGATTGCCAATATTCGACCAGGTTTCTCCCGCAGAAGCGATGGGAGTCGCAGGCGAGCGTGATCCCGGCGATCCACGTGTATCAGAGATCTCAATAAGGACCTTAGAGACCTGGTCAATATACATAAGTGGAAAACGTAGAATGAGCAATTCAAGACCTGCAATCTCTCTAGCGGAGCAAGGAAACTGGACCACATACAAGTCTCTCGCCAATCCGACAAAGCGTAAGAACAATATTGCCCCTGCCACTACCACAACTTCGGATCCACGGTCGTGCGGACGCTTCATCAGCCGGCAATTCGATGCACACCCACAGAGAGGCCAAGCTCGCCGCAGTGTGCTGCGTAAAGCACACAAACTCCGACCCCAAGACACACCAACGTGTTTTACCACAGAAGAGACAGAAGCACTTTAGGTCCTGCTGAAAAAACTGGGACCTGCAAGAGTTGAGTTCATCGTTGAATTCGTACAGATCTCTCTCCTATCCCCAATGACAAAAAACCATGAAAGCACTACTCCTCCCCACCCTGTAGAAACATCCTAAGCTAGCCGAACATCAGCATAGATTCCGCAAAATGCGCATCAAGACCACAGTATCACAATACAGGCCATCACCACACTCATTAGCGAGGGTCTGAACCAACGTCTTTCTTGTGATCTATCTATTGGAGGCGCTCAACATAGGAAACCACGCAACCCTCTGCCAAAACGTCCAGGAATCGACGCTTCCAGCTCAGATGAGACGGTGGATAACCAGCTATCTGTGTGAACGACAATCATCAGTCGAATTACGTAACGCCAAGTCCAAGCCGCGTGGAATTATAAGTAGGGGCCCTCAAGGCGACCTATTCTCCTCGGCACTATTCAATCTCTACAAAACTACCTCCGTCGTCAGCCGAAGTCAACTTGGTAAGCTATGAGCCGCGAAATCTTCACAACGTGGACCAAGGACATCAGCCTCGAACTAGACATATTCGTCACTGGCGCCAAAATACCGTCAACCGACCCCAACATCCTAGGAGTGGTCTTTGATCGCCTGTCCTAATTCTCCGTGCACTCCTCAGCTACCTGCAACAAACTGCAAGCTGTGCTCCTGACACAGTCTTCAAGTCGCTAGCCAGGCGCATCTGGATAGCCGAAAAATAGGGGTTGCTTGCTACCTACAAGGCGATCGGCCGGCCAGTGGTAAACTGTGCAGCGCCAGTGTGGTCGACAGGAACGAGCGACACGCAGTAGAGAAATCTGCAAATATGTCAAACGCAGTCCTGCGTTCGGCCACACGCTGCCATCTCATGTCTTCCGAGCATCACAGTGAAAGAACACAACACCATGTTGTCGAAGCAATTCCTCGTGGAATGTCACCATGGAAATGATCCCAACAACGCCCTGATTCGAAACGATCCGCCCCCACGACACGTGACGACACCTGCCCGACTGGAAACCAGGACTCGAATCGTAACATCCGTTCGCGATTCGAAAGCTATACGAAAGAAAATTACGTGATATCGTCAGTCGTATAAGCTGAATGGTATAAAGAGTACGTTCACGTATATCATAATCCGAAAAATGTGTTTTTACGTGACGAGTAATACGATATCGTATGTGACGATTCGAGCCCAGACGTCGAGCCGTACATAGATCATCCGTTCGAAACAGCGGCGCTCAACAGCCGACTCCTGCCCATAAATATAGAAGAAGCGAAACTACTGAGAGAGACCAGATGCACCCTGGACAATTCCGTTTTTCGTGGGGCCACCGACTCAGCAGCTATCTCTCGCGTTGCTGTGTACTCTGTTGACAATGGCGGCTGCATGCGTGAATACGCAGTTGCAGTCTGACCTCCTTGGCGCAGGTGGTAATTGCCGAGTATTTGCTCAGGGAGAGGGTTAGGCTCCTTGCGGTGAAGAAGAGAGAAATTCGGAGACATAGCCGTTTATTTTGGAGTACAATTCATCAATTCCATTACCACGACAGCCGGTTCTACGTACCAAAATGACTCGGGTTTTACCCGACCAAGGGCTGTTGTTTCGGCGATTTAACCCCGTTTAGGTCAAAGTTGTGTTTCTGCCATGGAAAAGTTTCTCATAAAATCTATTTGACGTACGGAGGCGGGGTAAAACCGTAGGTCTCTCCACTTGCACAGCGTCAGGTATATCTTCATTAGAATCCACGTATAAATACAAGACAATTTTGAAGTGATACTTCTAAATCCAGTTCGGAGATGTTTGCGTTAAAGATTTAACACCACGTACATATGTATATCAATCGATAAAGATAAAGATAAAGATAAAGATAAAGATAAAGATAAAGATAA